CATTGCACTCTTGCAGCTTCAAAAGTTGACCAATCATCATCTACAGTCAGGTATCCTATCTCTTATTACCTTCCCTATACATCTTATTCTGTAGTTCAGCAATCTTTTGTTTCAGCTATTTCTTTAATCATTGAACCGAGGTCTTATCAAGATGTTATTAATCATGATTGCTGGAAAGAAGCTATTAGAGCAGAATTAGATGCTTTGGATAAATAGAAAACCTGGATATTAACTGACCTTCCTTCTAAAAAGAGGGTTGTTGGTTGTAGATGGGTATTTAAGGTGAAATATCATGCTGATGGATCAGTTGAAAGATATAAGGCCAGACTAGTAGCCAAAGGTTTTACACAAATACCAGGTTTGGATTACATTGACACTTTTAGTCTTGTAGTAAGAATGACCACTGTTAAAGTTCCTTTGGCTATAGCTGCTGCTTCTAATTGGTTAGTACATCAACTAGATATTAACACTGCTTTCTTACATGGTGACTTAGTAGAAGAAGTTTATATGAAACCACCTCCTGGCCTTATCTTATCTTCTCCTAACAAAGTATGCAAATTGCAAAAATCTCTTTATGGTCTCAAACAAGCCAGTAGACAATGGAACATTAAACTCACTGAGACACTCAAACTGTTTGGCTTTGTTCAGTCAAAGTCAGATTATTCATTGTTTACTAAAAGAACTAATATCGGTTTTATAGCCATCCTTGTGTATGTTGATGACTTGATTATTTCAGGTAGTGATGAAACAGAGATTATGAAGGTAAAGAGGCTTCTGGACAAACAATTTAGTATCAAGGATCTTGGCCAATTGAGCTACTTTCTTGGTCTTGAGTTTTCTAGATCAGATCAAGGCATTTCTGTTTGCCAGAGAAAGTATGCCCTTGAGTTGTTGCAAGATACAGGACTATTAGCATCCAAACCATGTTCTACTCCAATGGATCACACAACTAGGCTTCACCATGATCCACTTGATCTCTATTCAGATCCATCATCATATAGAAGACTAGTTGGCAGATTGATTTACTTAACCCACACAAGACCTGATTTGGCTTTTGCTGTTGGAAAATTAAGCCAATTCATGCACCAACCAAACAATACACATTTTCAAGCTGCTCGGAAAGTGCTTAGATATGTGAAAGCTACTCTAACAAAGGGTATATTCTTCCCATCCTCATTAGATCTTAAGCTCACAGGATACACAGATTCGGACTGGGCCATTTGTCCTGATTTAAGGAGATCCATTTCAGGCTTCTATTTTTTTCTGGGCAATGTGTTAGTTTCTTGGAAAAGCAAGAAACAAAATGTGGTGTCTAGATCTTCATCTGAAGCTGAATATCGAGCCTTAGCATTAGGAGTTTGTGAAGCTCAATGGCTTCATAAGCTGTTGACAGACTTTCAACTACAAGATCTCATTCCAATATCTCTATTTTGTGATAATCAGTCAGCCTTATACATTGCTGCTAACCCTGTATTCCACGAAAGAACTAAGCATGTGGAAATTGATTGCCACACTGTCAGAGATCAAGTACAAGCATGATTTATTCATCTAGCTCCAATCACTTCATCTGAACAACTTGCTGACATTTTAACTAAACCTCTTTTACCAAAAATGTTCTAGGATTTTGTGTGCAAGCTTGAACTTTCAAACTTTACCACTTCAAGCTTGAGGGAGGGTGTCATGATGACTTAACTTATTGTATTTTCTTATTCTATTTTTTATTTGTATTTTTAATTCAGTTAGGAGGTTAGTTAGTCTGTTTTTCTTAATTATAGTTTGTTTTCTCTTGTATTGTTGTAACTATATATACTTGTAGTTTATCATTGTTAAATACAGTTTTTCAATATAATTCTGATTCTGCATTCTTCGTGCTTCTTCTTCTTCAAGAAAATTTCTTTCATGACATTTTCATGGTGATTTCTTTATCAAAATTGTAATAAAAAACTAAGAAAAATAAGGATTTTGGTACAGTTGATTTTAGAATAGAATTTTCAAGTTTATGTCATGTTGGATTTAATTTAATTAAAATTTAATTTTAAACTCTTTCATTATTGCGATTTTAAGGTGATTGGTGTAAGAGAATATTATTATAATTTAAAATTTAATTAAATATTATTTATTCAATTCATGTTTTAATGTTTTAATATTTTTAATTAATTTTTATTTACAATTTTAAAAATTAAATCCAGTTAATTTAGTTACCATTCAAGATTTAATTTTTATTTTATATTATTGTTATTTATTTCCTTTGACCTACTTATAATATGATTTTGTGTACATTGAGGTTGTTCTTCTTTTGTAGCATTGCACTAACTCTTCAGACTCTATATATTTTGTCTTTATGAATTAATAGAGATACACAACACACAACATTTCACTCATCTCTCTTCTTTTAAAAATTATTTTCACTGTTACTTAATATATTTTGGAGCAATATTATTTGATTTGGAGATCTTTCACTATATATGATTGATTTAATGGATTGTCATATCTTGGAAGACAATACATTATAAAATATTTTATCAGTGTGAGTGTTTTTTTTAAAGGATAATGTCTAACGTGCTTCAATTCAAATTATTTAACTTTTTTTTATATTTTATTTCAATCATTCTTACTTAATTTTATCATATGTTGATGTGGATCTTAATATAATTTTAATGATAAATAGTATGTATTTTAATTTTATTTTCATGCTTTTTAACAATTGGTATATCATTATAATGTTTATAATGTTGAAGGCGCGTTTAGGCATATATTGTAAAAATTAAAACAAGAAATCACTTAGATGTTATGTTCTTATTGGTCTAGAAGATGATTGTTTCAAAACACTTCAACTTGTAAAGGTATGATAGTGATTTCTGAAATTATAAACGTCCACTCTATTTTGAGGTGAAAAAAAAGAGAACGATAGAGTGGGGGAAAAAAAAGATAAAAAGAAAAAGTAATAGATGTAAATTGTAATGTATATATATGTGATAAAAACATAGAGAGATAGGAAAATAAAAGGGGTGAGAGTAAGTTATAATAGTAAAATGTATAAATCTCAAAAAATAAAAGTTTTATTTACATTTTTTTTATTATTATTGTATTTTTGTGTTTGTGTTTGACCATTCCAACCAAACGCTATGAGTATGTTTCTAAAATGATTGTTCTCTATTTAACGTGAATCAATCAATTTTCTTCTATCATATTCAACTTTTGGGAAGTGAGAAGCGAAAGTGAAACGACTAAACAAACATGCCCTAAATCTTTGGATGAATGTATTTAAATTCATCCCATATTGTTGCCCCTAATTTAATCACAACATCGTAGGTATTCAATTAAACTTTTTGAAGATGGCATCATATGTTAATAATAATATATGTCATGGTACGTTGTTTCATTTCTTGATCCCATTCCTTGTTACTGTTGTTTGTCCTCTTCTGTATATAATACATCTTCAATTTGCAATTTGTTTTTATTTTACAGTTTTAAGTTAAAATCAGTTTGTCTCGTGTGCTTGGTTATGGAATAATAACAAACAACCCATTTATTTTTTTGGCACTAGTGGTGTGACCGGCCAGGTGTAAAAGAAAAAATAAATTATAAAAATAAAATTCTTTTCGATATTTTCTAATCGACCATACTTTTAATATATAAAAAATTATATTATATGGAGGATCCCGTCATTTACAATTAAAAAAAATGGTTACAAGAAGTTTTTCTAAGAAATCAAAAGATTCTTTTTACCAAAACAAATATAATCGACGACAATTAAAGATTTTCTTACTTGGATCTATTGCCGTCTTTAATTAAAGTTCCTTAGACATTGAGTTTCTATTTTATTAATTAATTAGTTTTACTTTTTTAAAAGTTTCTTCACAAAAACAATAACAAAGGAGGTAGTGTGTAACTTAAATAATATATATAACTGGTATAATAAAAATTAAAGCAACAAAAATTGAGGCATAAAATTTCTTCTTGCATATGCCTACGTTGAGAGCCGTCCATTGCCTACAAATTAAACTTATCAAAGAAAAAGGCGATATAAGATTTTTTTTATATAAAAAATAATATACTTATTGACCCAAATGAGTAAGTGGTCGATACCTTTTTTTTATACAATCTAAATATTTTTTAGACTAAAATATTTAATTATTATTATATTTAAAAATGTACTAATTAACGATAAACTTGTTTACACAGATATATTTATTAAATTTGTTAACTTATATAATAACTAAATTAAAAGTTACATCACTTATTATTTCTAATTTGGTAATATTGATCTCGATCAGTATTATTATTTGCACAATCACTAAGATATTAAAATATTATAAGCGGACAATTATTTGCGTCAAATAAAATGATGCAATAACGAAATTAAATTAGACGAGACCACTTTCGTATAATTCAGCTAACCACGACTCTATTTGATGTCCTACTTACTAACACACTTTCTATTACATTTTTCTAACCCTATTTATTATTAACTAAAAATTATAAAATTATGAGTAAATCAAAACTCGTTAAATTCATAAAAATTTACGATCTTTAATAAATTTTAACTAATGATATAAATATAACAACCACGAAATATGCTAAATAATTGATATAAAGTTGTCTCAACTTATATAATGATATTAAATTTGAATATTAGATAACAATAAAAGAAGAACTTTGATATTAATAATAATCTTATTTAATTCGACCAATTTTTTTTGTTTGAAAAATACTATATATGGTCTAAACAAAAAATATATATAAACATAAACAAATTTATAAAATAATTTATACAACACCATTTTGTGTGATTATCTTTTATTGTTGTATATCATAAACCCTAACCCCAAAAAAAAACAAACTACCTAGTTTCACAACAAAAGAAAAATAGGTTAGAGATTTTAGCATAAAGCCCATATTACCCTCTCCTTAACCTACTATATATAGGATAACATCTTTTTGCAAACATCATATAGAAACTCAACTCGAGTAAAAGCAACGTATTTACAGGTTGAGCAATGGCAAACACTGGTGTGTTAATGATTTTGTTTTTCCTATTGAATGTCATAATCCATGTTCCACATCTCACTGAAGCATCGTGCAAATCCAATGGTCGTCATTCTCCCGCATACAATCCCAGAGGAACGCACGCCATTCTGACTCTCAACAACTTTGGTCGCGGCGGCGACGGAGGAGGTGCCTCCGCATGCGACGGAAGGTTCCATCCCCTACCACAAAGAGTGGTGGCGCTTTCAACCGGATGGTTCAGCAACGGCGCAAGGTGCGGGAGAAAGATCAAAATCAAAGCTAGAAATGGAAGGAGCACGGTGGCTGAGGTGGTAGACGAGTGTGACTCCGTGCATGGCTGTGACAAGTCACATAAGCATGGTCAAACATGTAAGACCAACATTGTTGATGCGTCCCAAACTGTGTGGAAGGACTTAGGACTCGACATCGATGATGGTGAAGTACCCATCACTTGGACTATTCTTTGAACCATGTCGATCACGACTAATGATATAATAATAAATAAATAAATAATACTGAATAAGACAAGCATGAACATGTATATGTGGTGATTGGTGGAGAGCGAGAAATTGTTTGACAAAATCATTAAAATGTATATGTAGGTTTAGGTATAACAAGTGTGCTGTCAAAAACATGTATAACAAGTGGACAATATCAATCGTACAATTGTCAGTTGAACAATAATGGCATTATAATTTGTTTTCTTCATCTTCGCTGCAACTAGTTTTCCGGTTTCATTCAACAAGAAACTTTCCCGCGTGTTAATTTAGTGATAGGAAGAGATATCTAGATACACTGGTATTTTTAAATTTAAATAAAATTTATATTTAATTTACGGGTTTAAAGGAAAAATTGCCTACAATATGGATGAATTTACATTGAAAAGGTGACAAATGCCTCCACTACGTTTTTATATTCTCACACACACATATATATATATATATATATTATACTATGTTTAAAAATTAAGTGTTCTCAAGAAAAAGATTGTCCTTATAGAAACACAAAACCCTTTCTGGAAGGATATGCTTAATCAACTTTGTCTTATCATTCTAGTTCTTTTCTTCCAATTTTTTTTCAAAATGCCAAAGGCGCAGTAGCTAGATACTTTGAGACCATTCAAAGAAGGTTCTTGTGGGGCTATAAAGAAGGGGAGGAGAAAGTTTTTTTGGGTGAGTTGGGAAAGGATCACTAGACCTAGAGCATGAGGAGGATTGGGTGTAAAAAAATAACTATGACTTTAATGTAGCTCTCTTAGCAAAGTGGAGGTGGCACATTTTTTACCAATAGGACATCCTATGCGGAAAAGTCCTAAGATCAAAATACGGAGGACAACATGACTTATGTTAAGGAACAACTAGCTCTAAAACGTCAATGGTGGTGAGATCTCTTAAAGATGTGTTGTGGAACTAATGAGGATATGTGGCTCGATAATTTGATTAAATGGAAACTAAGAAGGTAAACAAACCAAGTTCTGGTAGAATAGATGGACTGAAGATGAAAGTTTAGGGGTATCCTACCCTAGACTATTTTTAAACTCATAACAAAAACACCACACAACTGAACAAATGGGGAGGTGGGTTGATGATACGTGGATATGGGAACTCTCTTGGCACAAGAACTAGTTCTCATGGGAGCTAGGAATGCCAGGCAAAATCCGTGCAACAATTTTTATCAAGTGTAAGTGTACATAGAGGACACTAAGACTCATGGTTTTGGCAACCTAAACCATCTGGAGTCTTCTTAGTCAAATCGACATATAAAGCCATTTAGATGGAGAGATTTGGAAGCCAGTTTCATCATAAATTTGCTCAGATTTGGGTTATTAAGGCTTTGCCAAAGGCCTTAATTTTCATATGGTGGAAGTTTCATAATGGTCTCCCAACATGCAATAATTTGTTAAAAAGGAATATATTGCTGGCACAACAAGATACTAATTATCCCTTTTGTAAATTTGCGGTCGAATCAACAACACATGTACCTACAGTCTTATTGGTGAAGTATGGAAGCAACAAAAAGAATTAGCACGAGCATAGGTCAACCTGAAACCCGACCGACCTGATCGAAATCTGTCCAACCCTACACCATATTTGGACAAAAACATATGTCATGGGTTGTTGGCTGTTGCAGTTTGGACATTTTCAGCCCAAAGCTCCCGTTGATCACCCTTACCCAGCAGGAACAATAGCCGGCCATAACTACGTCCCTCTATTTTGTGATTACCCCATGCTAGAGGCCATTATCCTACCACCCTATCCTACATACATCCAACGAAATAAAACACACACACATGTATATATGTGTGTGAATATTCATATCCCTATAAATTAATAATGTACAAACAATTTTCTCCTTTAGTTTCAAATTATTTATCATTTAAACTAATGTATATATCTTAAAAAAACACACACACACACACATTGGTTATAATGTATCCATCGATAGAATTATATATAGTTTCTAAAGTTTTACTATTTAACGCATCAAACGAGCTGTAACATTTTAATTAAATACTGTTATATCACATAGTAAAGATAAACAGAGCCACATACTTTTTAAAATGTTACTGTGATCATATCTTTGGTTGGTTTGCTTAAACTATATATATATATATATATATAGATATATATATATATATATA